CCGATCCAAGTAAAAAACAAAACAGGAAATAACTTTTTTTTGGTTTGAAGGCCTTTTAACAAAATACGTAAAAAGAAAAAAGAAAACAGAAATACATGTTTGATACTAATAATCTATTACTATGCGATAAGTGAAGATTATTTTTTGTGTAGTCTTCTGCCCTCTGTTATCAGGTATATCTGATTGTGTAAAATAGGATTTTGAGCAAAGTTACCATTAAATTATGCAAAAGGTGTCAGACGCAAAACATTTCAGAAACCGTATGTATCAAATATGATACATTTGGCATTACAGGGTTAAAAATGAAGGATCCAGCCAGTGAGCTGCCAACAAGATGTGGTGGGCACGCCAAGAGTGTCCCAGACGCTGAAGCTCCAGAGAACAAGCAGGAGTCCGGAAACAGGTCAGGCAAACAGATCAGAACAGGAGCAGGCAGTCTCAGAGGTCCAAGAGTCCGAAGCCCGGTCAGGCAAACAACATGACAGGAAGATGCAAGCTCAGTGATTGAGAGCAGGTCTGGATCAGGTAATCAGGAGCAGGTGGAACAAATTAGCAGTGATTAGAAACTGGGCAAAGTAAGACAGGGGAATGTAATAAGTAATAAAGTGAGTTATCAGTACCAAGATCATGACATTAACTTGCTTGAACAGCTGTTTATAACACAGCTCTGGCTATATATTTAGATAGAATACCCTGAATTTATCAATACAACTTCACATCATCGGTGGCAAACCTCTGCGTGAGATTTCTTTGGTTGAGCAGCGTTTTCTGGAGTGTTATTCACAATAGACTGCAATTTGGATTTTGGCCAAGATGTTTAAATTTAGTCACATTTGACTAATTCCTTCAGAATTTGTTCTTTTCACATTTCCTGGGCATCACCTGGATGACTTATTTTTTATCTAACAAATCAAATCAACAGTTCTTCCATTCTTTCAAAAAGGCCATACTTGTTCAAGTAAAAGACTATATGTTGTTTTGTCAAAAAATCTCTCATCTGAGCTTTGATATTAGCAGTCCCTCCAAGTACTGATCAGTATTGTTTTTGACAGCCATCCTAGATTTAGTCTTAGTCACATTTTAGTCATTAGGATGTGTGTTAGTTTTTGTTGGTTTTAGTCGACTACACGAAGCAGCAGCACGGCTGATGGTACTAATCACTTGATTATAACAGGAGGTGAACATGCTACACCTTTTAGAAACCAGAATTTTGAAAACATTAATTTCACTTCATTACTAAACAATGTAATATGTACATATTAAAGATTAACACATTACATAAAATTTGTGGTCATAAACTAAAAAATATTGCAAAGTTCAATGGCTTTAAATGTGCTTTGTGAGCTACAGTATTAGCATGTTATGGTTCTTGCTCATGTCATCCCTCATTCACTTTTGCACCCCTGTTCAATAAACACTTAGGGAAGTGAGATTATATTTCCATATAAAAAGCCTAATAATTACAGGGAGGAGGATGATGGGAGTTACCCTTATCAAAGGAAATGATAAGGGACTAGCAGGCCCCGTGAAAGAACAGGGTCCATTTTGATATAATTGGCAGTGGAATTATTTATGACATTAATTGCCACATTATCGACTGGCTGTCAGGTCCTGTGTCATTCTGTCCATATTTCTTAGCAGAAAGAGCCAGCTCAGCCTGGTGTCCACTGACAAGCTAATTACAACAGCACAACCTTAAATGACAAATGTTACTCATCGAGGACTGGCCAGGCCCGGAAATAAGGGCCGCTTCTCCCCCTCCAGCCTCCCTGGATCAAACAAGACTGCAGCGTGCTGCCAAATGCAGTCAGGTGCAGGAATGACAGGGATGCATGTCAGACAGAGAGAGAGAAACGGATACAGATGGAGGAAGAGAAGAAGAAAGGGAGGTAGATGCTTCTCAAGAAAGCATCGACTATATGTTGGACAGTTGTCATTCACAAGGATGTCTTTTTATTGCCTCCTTCTTTTGGTTGACTAATGTCAATCAATCATCAGGTGGTAGCAGGGGGTGGGCGGGTTGGGGGGTGGTATTGTCTCTCGCTGAAGGTCCCACTGCTTTTAAAAATGTTTATTATACAAATAATTAAGATCAAGCCACACGTTTTACCAATCTTCATTGGTAAAGCTCTCCAGTTTGGCTAGCAAGAAACTACCTTTGTAAAACTGTATTTATAGGAGGGACAATGGTGAAGGAAGGCAATGCATTACTGTTGCTCCTCATGTTAAGGATACCTCCTTAAAAAATAAAAATCCCACAATCATTTATACTCCTGGAAGGTTTTGATTTTATTTTATTCAATCAAGAAAATTATTTCTGATTAAGAAAGTGAGATATGACGGAGGAAAATAAAAGGAGTATCTAATGTCAAAAATAATTTGGTTTTAATGTACATTTTATTAGAAAATGGTATTTAGAAATATATCTATACCCTTCTCAATGAACAGTGGAAAAAAGTGGCTTTGCAGAAGTCAAACTCCTTCATCAGTAATGAGCTCCACTTTTTTGATATTGGAAAGCTTCCTGGCAATCATCCTATTCTTTAGAATCAAGAATCCTCATTTGTTTTCATGTGAAATTTTTCCCCGGAAAGGGAAAACGACTACTACACCAAATAAAACACACAGCCCACAACATAAAAAAATAATAAAACATATCCCACGTCATCAGCATTCGGGTAACCTCTCCATCCTCACTGCTAACAACAACTGGACTTTTACAGAGCTATGCTTCATCTCTAAAGAATAAATTAAAAACAATAACACAAAAATAAATAAATTAAGGATTTGTCAATATGTCCATAGATCCTCTATCAGCTTCAAGCTTGGACTCTGGCTTGGCTTCTTCAATACACCAAAATTACCTTTGGGTACAAGAAGCATCCATCCATTTCCTGCTGCTTGCCCATCGAGGTCACAGGGAGTTGGTACCCATCTCCAGCAACCTTTGGGTAAACGGTGGAGTAAACCCAAAGTCACCAGTCCATCGAAAGGCAACACACAGACACACATGCACACACAAATAAGGGTAATTTAGAGACAATAATGAATCTTAGTCATGTTTTTGGACAGTGGAAAAAAGATAGATTATCCAGACGGAAGCCCCACATTCACAGGAAGAAATTTACATTAGTAATATTTGAAAGATTAAACATTATTTTGCCAGGAGTAGGGATAAGTTTTGGCCTCTGTAACTGTTGTGGAAAATAGTAAATTAGGAAAAAATTAATAATTTATCCATTTAATGCATGCATGTGGGATCTAGAGCACTTTTATATTTTAAAGTTAAAAAAGAAAAAAGGGAACTTTTTTTCTCTGAAATAAATATGGTTTATCTTTAATTAACATAACTTGGTGGATTTTATTGTATTTGAACACATCTAGGAAAGCAGAGAATACCAGCTGTAAATAATATTAATAATTCAATCATAAAGGTGGTTTTAAAGTTCTTTAAATATTTTATAGTTATAAAGCTTCAATTTCTTTTTACAAAACAAAAAAAGTTTTAAATGAGAATCTTCTAAACATGAGATCAGCAGGTTCAAGTTTTACAAACATTAGGATCCCACTTAAGTGTGCTTGGTACACCTTCAATATAATAGAACCATTAAAAAAGAACCACTAAATCAGGCTTCAGTTTCAATTTGACAGTGGGATCATGAAGATTGCTCAACATTTAATTTTAAATTGCACAACTATGCAACTCGCGTGTCATAAATAAACACAACTGTGCACAGGCAGCTAGCCAAGGCTTATAAAAACATGAAAGGTTGAGAGTTAGACCATCTATTTAAGGGTACCCATTCAGGCAGAGACATGTCCATACACTAGTGGAGCCTGGGGGGCTACTGTATCAGAATGTCACTGATCTGCTGCAATGAAGTGGTGTGCCTTTTGTTCATCCACCAAGTTCCCAAGATGCAGCAACAGCGTCAGAGCTGGGGGTCAATAGGGTCATTGCCTACAGGTAGATCTGTGGCTCATACCTTAATTAATCTACTGTCTGTGTTGCAGAGCATCCCATTCGTCCCTTAACATGCACAGAGGAGCACGTCAAGCATATGTCAACCCGCTATGGAACTCCCCACCCACCCTGTAATGCAGTTTGTGTTGGTGTGGCAGTTCAAGATGCATCCTTGACAAGGATGGGAAGTGACACACACCAAACTCGGTGTGTCCCCCAGCCAGCTCCGGTGGCTCGGAGCCTGTCAATTCCAGCTCCGTCAGTGGCACAGGCTCAATGGCAGTGCCTGTGACACATGTCACAAAGTTTTAAATGTCTGCTCTTTTCAGCAGGATGGCTGGGCGCGCGCCGCAGCCAGGGGAAGGATGACATTTTGTGTTGTGTGGGGGGGGGACTTGTTGTGGCTCCCCTCTTCCTGCCTCCTCCGGCTGTCAGCCTTAGTTTCCTCTGAGCATATCAAAACACAGACAAATAAACCTTGTCATTTTGAAGCGCCAGCACTAGTGACCAGCCTCCTGAGCGGCATGTCATCTGGAATATGGTCACACAGTCCTGTAAGAGGTTGTGAAGTGTATAAGCACATGCAAGAAGGTACTCTTTCACTCTTCTTCTCACACACACAAGCATCTCAGAAACTGGAACGCATCTTTAAGCTAATAAAAATAAACAAAGAAAGACAGTGAACAAACATTGCATTAGGCTATCTCTGACCTTTTCTCTGTCTGTTTGTAGATGAGTGACATGCTGTGCTAAACATAAACATGGTTGCTTTCAAGCCCCACAGACATCAAAGCTCTTCATGTCTCCATCTCATCACCAATTTGTAGTCCTTCCCCTCGATAAAATCTAGCCTTCATAACGAATGAAAAATCTTTAATGTTAACTACTCTTGCAGCTGCATTATCGAGTAAAATTTGCTAATTATTTTTGATTAACTTTATACGCTTTGGAAAAATACTAAAATTTTCTTGTGAGGCATCAATGTATTGTACGGTGCAGATTGAGATGTGAGGAAAAATGAAAAAGCCCAAATACATCTGAGTTCAGCCCTTTTAATCACACAAAAGTAAAACATTTACTTCAGCTGTTAGATATCAAATGTTTGTTCAAAATCCTAAACTGGAAGGTGCGCTTGACACCTTTCTAACCTACTGCTGTGTTAAGGCACAAAGAGAGACAGTGTACACGACTAACAATAATACAAACATAACAAAATTCATAAAAACGAGATAAACAATTAAAAATACCACTGTATGTTTTCATATGTTATTTATATTTGAAGTGCATCTCAGTACAAATAAAAAAAAAACATAAGTAGTATAAAAAGAGCCTAAGGCATGAAAAGGAAACCTCAACGGGATAAAAAATTATAATAATAGATGGAGCAAAACACGTTTGCATAAAAATTCAAAATACCTTAGTCTATGTAAAAAAGGTCCAATACTACCTGTATATTTTACACCACATTAGGTGGGTTTGATCCATGCAAATGGAAAGAAAAGCCAGTGCAAGAGAAGCTGAGTTGTTTAAACCAAACATCAAATACACATTTTGATGTAACCCAGATTGTTTGGTTATAAATGAGATTTTAAAAAGTTTCATCAGCCGTCATAGAGCGCCATTTTTGACTTCTTGTGTTTATGAAAGAAGAAACAGTAGATTGGTAAAGTCATGTTGTATGATAAGGTTTTAGTTTTGTAGAGAAGATTTTAGTCCACTCTGAATTTTTTTTTCCTTATGAGTACAACATCAAGGTGGTAATTTCATTTGATCAGTATAAATGATAGGCACGTGGATACAACTTGTTCATTAATTAGAGCATTAATTGTTTGGGAATCCAATTTTTTATTCTTCTTTTCAACCCACTCTTTGTAATCTTAATTTTAGACACTTTTTTTCCCCCAAACAATTATATGGTTCATATAACCTGTTTAATGATCTTTGTATTGATCTTTGACCTAGATGTTGGTGACTTGTGACATTTGTCAAACTTTTGCATGATGGTCATTTAATACAAAATATCAAAAACTAGTCAATCAAATGATGCCTATGATAAAAGTTGAATTTGGCAATCAGTTCTCAATCAGAAACATCAGAGTGTGAACTTAAGAAAATGGCAATTAAAGTAATAAATACAGGAAATCTTTTGATTAGTTCTTCTATTGTTTTCATAGTTCTGGACATTTTGGTCCTCACCAATTTATGTAATGGAAAGAATTACAACCCTTACAAAACATGCCTCATTTATTCTAATCTAACAATTTCTGTTTGGAGATGAAAAAACAAAATATAAGTGCAGATGTACATTAAAATACAAACTAAAACACACCACACATTTCCAGAAAATTATGTTATTTATTGGATTAATATCTGAAATTATTTGAATATGCTCACAATTTGGAATAAGCAATAATTTAAAACTACCTGTGTGTGTAGATCTATGAAAATATTCAATTAGTGCTCAAAATATACTTTTTTTTCAGTATTCTTGTAAATGTACGTTTTCATTGTTGATTTGCAATTGACAATAATCAATTAAATGTTTTTATCTAAGACCCTGGGTCATCAGCTCTTGTTAATTAACTAACCGGAAATCTGACCATTATGTTTGGATAAAAAATATATTTTCTATTTATTGATGAATACAACATAAATTCAGACTTGGGCTTAGTTTAACAGACTGAATTAAACTGTTTCTGGAAAAAAACAAAACAGGATGAGTAAAGCTTTATGTTTTGAGGGGAATTCAGCTAATTAGTGGTTCAGACGGGGCCAGAGATTTCACATGATGTAGTAGCATAAATTCCCATTCAGCTCTCGAACATATAGACAGCAATATGAATAGAAAACTATTTTTAGCTCTTAATAATAATAATAAAAAAATAAAATGATTTACTACCTAGCAAAGCCAAAATATGGGATTTTGCTTTGCATGTTACTAGTTCTCAGCTGTAACTTCCATTCATTTGCTATTAAGACTTTGCCTAATGATAAAAAAAACAGTTGTGAGGGCAAGCCTCAGACAAGCAATGGCAAAAAAAAAAGAGAAAAAAGAATGAAGAAGATGACTCCACTTCAGGGCCCAGGTGTGTGACCGCCACCCTTTTCACCCTTGATTAGTAGCTGCAGTGAACAAGTGATCCATCATGGGTGTCCAAGAAAAGGAAGCAATTGGCTGGGTATGTTTGTTACTGCCTGTGTGTTAGACCATAAGGTAGGGAACCTGTCCTTGTGTGTGTGAGAGAGTTGTGTTGCAGCTGATGCTTAGAGGCAATCATGTCAGTGGGAGTGTCATCTCTGACTCTGAGCTGAAAGCAGGCAAACAGATGTACGCTCGGCTCAGGAGAGGATACTGGAACAGTGGCTCTAATATGCACTATAAAAAAGGAGACATTCAATGTACAGAAAAAAAAAAGCATATTTGGATATAAGGGATCTTATTCCAGCAGTGGATTAGGTGAATGAATTAAATCCACCAAGGTTTTAATAAATAAAAAAAAATGACCCCTTTGAGAGCTTCTTGTGGACATCAGAGCTGATCGTTTCGGATGAATCTGTTGCCTTCTGAGTGCTTGCCATAGTAGATGTAGCGACACTTGGCGAATACCCCTAAAAAGAGAATAAGACAAAAATAGTTTAGGTGGGAATCATGACTGGACATGCACTTTGCTCTTAGAGCTATTGTTCTTAATGATGCTAAATGAAGAAGTAAGAATTATTAGTTGTGAGAAGTTCTTTGAATGGCAATGGACTGGGGACCTGTCCAGGGTGTACCCCGCCTCTCACCCGCAGACAGCTGGAGATAGGCACCAGCAACCCTCGCCACCCCGCTTGGGATAAGCGTGATGGAAAATCAATAGATTGATGGAAGTTCTTTGAATAGAACCTGTTGTCGATCAGGTTGCAGTCAGAAAACAACACTTTCATCAGATAAAAAAAAAACGCTTAAATATTGAGCAGCAAATGTGAATTATTTTATTCTTTTGAGACGTTAAACCTATATTTTTTGGAAAGTATTAGTAGCATTTAGCATATTTCTTTTTATTTATAGAATAAATATACAAACTACAATATGCAACCTGAACTGATTCATAATATGTTGCAAAAGACAGTTTAAAATCTAAGCATCTATAATAATTTTGTCTTTGCTTTATTCATAAAACTAATTTAAAGAAAATGCTTGACTCTGAAGAAAAGAAATATCTGCTGTTAGCATGCATATTTTTCAGTTTGCATTTTTCCCTAAATATACATGAAGAAAAACAATGTTTGCAGTTTCAGAAAAATTGCATAAAGCAAAAATATTTGCATTTTTTAAAAATAGAGGTTTTAACCGTTAGTTTATTATTTGCTTGTTTTGTTTTTAAAATTCATAGTAATAAAAAAAGCAAAAACACAGAATTTTACCAGAGGAACCAGAAACAACTGGGGAATATAAAACTCAATGTCACAAACACTAACATCCTAACTTGATGAATGCAGGGGGCTGCACCCTAGTGTCATCCCCCACCAAATGAGGCAAGGACAAGTGGCATTAGTGGCGTCAATGATCCTCTGACAGCCTAACAGATACGGCTTTCACCAGCTTTTCTAAATAGATATCAAGTGCATTATAGGAGGGGGAGGAAGGCAGGCCAAAGACAAGGCAGGATTGGAGAAACATATGGGGAAGGCATTGTCGCAGAGGGATAAGGGACGCTCGGAGTGGTAAGTCCAATCACATAATCCAAGAAGACATTGTCAAGAGAAGCAAGAGAATGGCAACTAAGTGACAGAAAGCAGGGACGGGGACAGAGATACTGGTGCCATATTAGTGCCAAGCATATTCTGATGCCACCCTCAATTCTAACCAAACTTGACACATCGCTCTCTTTCCCGCTCTCTCTGACTCTTCAAAGTAGGCTCCACCAAGTCTCACACACAAACACACAAGTGCACATATGTGGAGCACAGAAATGCACAGGAAGCCACACAGCGCACCAGTCCCTTGCAGCAGTGGTGGGTGTTCTGTCAGGCGGAGGAGGAGTACGGCAGCAGCAGAAGCCCACAGGCCCGGGGACAAGCTCAGTCAATCTAAATCTGGACTTTGTAGTGGAGCAGTGCTCATTTCCCCTCATAGCCCAGCTACTTGAGGTGATCCAAACACTGAAGTGTGAGAAGCTGTCACCTCCCATAAAATCCAAGACCAGCTCCATGCCTGCCTGCTCCCTAGTGTATGAAGGATGTATACATGTGTGTTTTTAGGTGTGCATGAGTGTGTGTGTGTGCTTTTTTTTTTTTTTTTTTTGACAGCATGGAGGTTGGAAGCGTAGTGAGTGGGGGGATGAATTCCAGCTGCTGTGATTTGCCTTGGGACAAAGGTGCCATGGTTGTATACTGTTCTTGACACCACAGGACTCAGGGTATCTCACAGCACTCAGACCAAATGGTTGCCAGGGTCTTTCATATATTCACTGTGTACCCAACGAAATACTCGCTCTCCAGGAGCAGGACCCTTAAAGAGATTACCCGCCAAGGCACCAGAACCATGTCTCCAATAAGACATCACCTAGAGGGTATATATTCATAGGTTGCAACCAAAGCCTTTAAGAGATAACCTTCACAGATGAAGGAACTAAACCTAAAGGCCCCACAAGTCTTCACACTCTGCTGAACTCAACTTCAGCCTGTGGGTACTAAGAATGATTGGAGAGGCCACAATGTGAAACTCTCAGGCACCAATTGGAGATGTCTGGACTATGAGTGACCTGTAGCTCTCCAACAGCGCCAATATACACCTCCGTAAAATAAAGAGGAGGAGAAGTAAATTAGGAGTAATGGAAGAACAAAGATCAGGGATGTGTCTGCTTCCCAGTGGGTGAAAAACTGCCCAAATGTGACAGTTCTCCATTTCTGCACTACATTAAGCACTGTGTTGTGTGCATAAACAGCCCTCTCCAGTTTGCTTTCTTCCCCTCACAGCGAGAGGTGCACTTATTACAAGAGAAACCAGGAGAAAGATGGGCTGGCTAGAGACGAGGAAGGAAGTAACTAAGCCAAATTTACTCTTACATAATACCTTCAGAGGCCATGCTTATGCCTCTGGGATTCTGCCTGATGAACCCGTACTTAATAGCAAGTATTACCATGCCAGCACTCAACAATAGCCTCTGTGTATCTAAATGTGCTAATATCACCAACACTGCCACGTTCCAATACATATTTTGATTTTCAGCACAGAAATCATGTGAACCAAGAGAACATTGGGAGCCGCCATTAAAGTGACATATTAACAAAGTTATGAGTAGGCTAATGCTTTCATTATGCCCTGGTAGAGGAACAATCACAGCTTTGTATTACACAGAAGCACAGCAAAAGAAGTTCAGAACATTTCATCCCTGCAGTTGTAGCAAAGTATAAATAATATGAGATATATATAAGATTTGTATAACCAATAATAAACATACAATGTTGCTTTTCTTGTCTCTTTTACTTTTTCTGTTCTCATCAATGTGATCAACTGGTGGACACTGATGGTGGTAAACTACATTGTAGCCACAGCTGCCCTGGGCACACTGAAAGAAGCGACTCCTGCATCCTACCCCACTGCTGCCCCCAGCATAGTCAGTTTACAGTTTACAAAATATACATTGAGACTGCTGTGTATTCATTTGCTGAGAAAATGTCAATAATATTCACAATAAGAAACCAATCGTACTCAAAATGCTGTGCTCAATTGAAATTCTTATTGAATCCTATTTTAATATAGCAAAACAAGTTAAGTGATTTGTAGAATAAAAAGATGCACAGTAACAGGTATCCTAGTACAGGCTATGATAATTTTGCAGTTTGGGAGGTTGTATCTTACACAAAAAGTATGGGATGGGATTCTTCAACTGAGGTGGAGCATTGAGTAATGGACTACTGTCAGTTAACAGGCTGAAAGGTGCCAACAAATTTTACTGGCTTGCATAAAAAACAAATTCAACCAGAAATATAACCAGGTAAAAAAACATAGCCATGGAATTTAAATTTAATGAATGAAATGAAACACTTCTTAAGGCAGAAATGTTCTGTTGTGATCGTTAACTAACTGGCTGTAAGATAAATAGCTTGAACTTTTAAGTAACCATTATTGGCTTGTCATACCTTGTTACTGTATAACCAGTGGAACAGTTAAAGGGTTAGCAATTTGGTCTTTTCTCTTTAAAATCAAAATATTTGAAAAATGGGAAGTGATCTTTGGAAGGATTGTGGACTTTGTAGGTCTGTCACTAAAAGGGGCAAGAAGGAACAGAGCACCCTGACCTGTAACGGTCTACTTCTTCACCACACCCTGGAGTCAAGAAAGCACCCGTAGTCTCTAGTCTGTGGGTAACAAGAATATCTCCGGAAGTTATTAATTCCCAGTGCCATCAAGATACACAACTCTGATTCTACTGTCTGTTGGACAATTGTACATCTGACATTTTGATTATCATAATGCTGAACTGTGGACAAATACACCATTTATTGTACACCATATGTGCTGTCTAAATTGGAATTGTTCTTCTTCTCTTCTGAAAAACATGAATTAGAAATTTAAACCAATGGTAATCACATAAGGTGTCCCATTAAGATGTAAAAACATTACAGTCCTAAGAAAAAAAAACAACATGCAGCCATCATACACTCTACATAACATCAAATCTAATGACTGCACGGTTTGTTTTTTTAAAGGACTGAATTTAATGTTGTACTTCACACTTTCCTCAAGTTAACCACTTTTGGTCTGTTTGAAGACTTTTGCGAAATAGGACAGATTACAGTATTTAGGTCACCCTGACCCTTGTGGGCATCAACATCATCAATTGGCCTTTAGAGCTAAGCTACCTGACCTGAAAGTGACAAGTATCAACTAAGTCCATGCTGCTCCTTCCATCTGAGTTTTTCATTGCAATGATAAAATTATACTGCCCAGGAGGCACTTCTGAACCACATCAGGACAGTAATTTAGCAGTCACTACATTTAACAATACATAAAAATATCACAGGGGTCTTGGCTACATTTGAAAATATTCCAGAACTACTCTGATTTTGTCTGTTTACCTTTAAATGTAGAGAGGGGGCCAAGTTCAGGTTAAAGGCAAGACTTGTACCACAATAAAATATGTTAAGACCAGATATTAGATTTACAGAACATCGGACAAATGCATGTTTTTATTGTTTAAATTTGACTGTATGCTGAAAACATATAAGACAAACAACAAAGACCTCCATGGATCTGCATGCATGAATCTGTCAAATTCCTTGCCATATTTTCTAATAGTCTGCTCCAGAGTTTTGCATTTAATCAGCACACACTCACAAGAGGGGAGTTGGAGAGGGATGTGAGATGGAGTGGGTTTAATGACTGCTCCCTGCATAAAATCAGCTTGACTCTTTTTCAAGGGCCATCAATATGTCACCCAACGACATGTCCAACGGATGTAGCTTTTAACATCAAGGTTATCTATTCACAGAATGAATTTTTCTCTGCACACTCCTATTTTCTTGTCTTGTCCCTTCTCTAAATCTGTCCTCTCATTTTTTTCAGCTGTTCACACTGTCTTTTCTCTCCCCTGCAGTATCTTTTGTCGTATTTTACATTT